AAAAATGCTTTCGGGCCACTCGTCGTCTAGTTTCAATACAAGAATGAGAGCCTCCCAGTTTTCATCAGGTTCATCTCAGCTACTTGAAAAGATTCACAGCTTCCAAGAATTGAAGACTTTTCTTGAGCTTCGCAGCCACTTTCAGCTTTTGTTTCTTCGTGTGTTGCTTTCTACGTGCCGCAGCTGCGGCTCTGGGTGCCGGACGTGAGCGAAGAAACCATCGCCCAGCACGGGCACTAAATGGCTCTTGGCTTCGTCGTAGGTGCCCAACTCCGCGGCGTTCACCAGGAAGGTCCGGGCCACGTTGGGCTCAAGGCCTGTGCAACGGACGCACACGTCACATGTCTTTCCTTACTTGGGGCGTCGGTTTTTCGTCGAAACTAGCGCGAACGGTTTTTTGTTGGTCGACAGAACTTCTTTTGGGGCCCAAGGCATGCTGATTCGACAGAAGCTTCTCCTATCTCGAGCAAAACACTTGTTGGAGAAAAACCCTCACGGTGACTCCTAGATAGAGGCTACACTTGCGGAAGAATGCTGGACTCCTCCGACTGCTTACAATAGGACCTTCTGGAAGAAAGAAGCTTCGAATTCATAGGGACCTCTTGTTCTATGTTGGAGACCATCGCTCTTAGGGTGGAGGGAATCGCTACTAGGATGGAGGCCATCGCTAGTAGGTTGGAGGCCATCGCTCACGCCCGGAGGTTTGCGTCAGACGGTCCGTCAGATCGTTTCTTCCTCAAACTCTTCAGGCTTCGAGAGTTCACATGTCTAGCCTCCACCCTAGCAGTTTCTTGTTCCTAGTAGTAATGCCCTTGTTACTAGTAGCTTCTTGCTACTAGTAGCGATGGCCTCGAACCTAGTAGCGATGGCCTCCAACCTAGCTTGTCAACTTGTCGTATTCGGAAGCGCTTTGGCCCTTTGGGGAGAAGATACGCAATGGCATATCTGGGTGGGCTTGCAGCACACGCGCCATACCCCAGAAGGAGCCATGGCCGTCGCTTTGGTCTGCAGTACTTTGGGGCGCAGGCCTAAAGAAGACCTATTGTAGGTCGAAACTAATGGTTTCTTGTTCCTAGTAGTAAGGCCAGGAGCTCCTAGTAGCGTCCTTGCTCCTAGTAGCGATGCCAGGAGCCTCTAGTAGCGAACATTGTTCCTAGTAGTAAGGCTCAAACTTACGGCTTGAGAAGTGCCAAATAACACGATTCCTCGCCCTCTGTCGCCTGCCCAAAAGCCAAGAAGGCCATCTTGCACCCAGACTCGTGAGGCCACCTCTCGCATGGTAATGTTGGCTCCCACGTGTGTCCTCAAAGTTTCGCCGAAGGTCAGAAATATGAGAAAAGACCCCTAATAGCAATGGTTTCCATCCTGCTAGCGGTGGCCTCCAACCTACTAGCGATGGCCTCCACCCTAATAGCAATGGACAACATGAGACATCGTCAAACAATTAGGTAAACATTTGAACACTTCAACTTAGGAGAATTTCAGCCGCCATGCTTCGTTATATTTTTTCAAAAAACTTCAGAGCCCTCACCATCCCTTTTCTGGACTAATGTATCCTGTCTTGTGAGTACAGTAGAGACGTCTGAAAATACAACGTTGGCAACACCAAGCTATGTGAATGCTGCAATGAACATGTACTATCTTCTGTTCCCGTATGAGGCAGAAAAGCATCTATACCCAAAACCTCTCTGCTCCGGTAAAGCATCTTTGAGGCACACTACCACACCCCCAGCTCCAATTTCACACAACAGCAATTGCCAATTGTATATATAGATCTAGCAATCTATTTCTTCACTCATGAAATATGACCATGGTGCTGTGTTTCTATGAGAAACTTCAAAGTGGCCTAGATGAGAGAAGACGTTTAAAAGTGCTGAATGAGGGTCCATCGTGATACATCAGTTTACACTTACCAAGGAACGAGGGTCCCTAAAAGTTACATTCATCAAGCTTTAGACAGTTCCAAGCAGATCAATTCGCAGATCTGTATGCACTTCCTCCATCCTCACCTTCAAGCATCTTCAAAGCACTGAGCTTACCTACTACTCAAATCTAGGAACCAAATCATTAGTGCGTGAGGTACCCTGCGTCCTAGCTGAGAGCTTCCTATTGCTAGTAGCTTAGTAGCGAACTACTCCCTTACGTCAGGAAGTAGGCGCCTACTAAATTAAGTAGGTAAGTAGGACTTAGGGAGTGGCCAAAAGAAACAACGTCACGTCACGTTTCTCCTCAAACCCATCTGATTTTCGCTCAAAGGCGCTGCACCTGGGTCTTCACCACCTGCACTGCGTCGAACACCGGCTTCTGGTCCCGGGAGCCCAGGGAATGTGCGCACTGTCGAGGGTGGCTCGGCTAGCTACGTTCGTAGCGTCCTTGTTACTAGCGCTGCATCTTGTTACTAGCTACACTTAGCTAGTTCAGATTCATTTGTTAAGTTTCCCTAGAAATCTCAGAACCCAATGAATAGTGCGAGCGCTTCGTGAGCTATGATGTGTCCTCTTACTAGTAGCTAAGTACTTGCGCCTACTTCATTAAGTAGTAGGGGAGCAGGTCATGGGCTAAAAAAGGAACATAAAGAAAACAACGGACTATATACTGAGTTCTTCCTAGCTCCGAGCTTCACTAAGCTTTATGCTGAGCTTCAAACGGAAAAAGCAACACACTCGCAGAGGGACCTCTGCAGGATTGAAGACGGAGATGGCCAGGGCTCCAGCCGTGCCGCCAGCGCAAAGCCGCTGGAAATAGCTCGGCCCTACCGCAGCGAAACAAAGGATCTTCAGCTGCGATGAACATGCATCGCTACTAGGAGCAAGAAGCTACTAGTAGCTAGAAGCTACTAGGTGGATCGCTATTAGTAGCAAGGACGCTACTAGTAGCAAAGGGCATTACCAGCAGTAGCAAGAAGCTACTAGTAACAAGGGCATCGCTACTAGTAACAAGGGCATTGCTACCTAGGAAGAAGAAGCTACTAGCATGCAGTGTTATCATGCCGTGAGCAACCAAACCAAATACTCTTTCTAGTAGCCAGCAGTTTGCTATAGTTTCTAGTTTCTGGAAGTTTCTCCAAGGCATTGCCTTTTCTGTAAGAGAGTACAAGCTTCGCGACACTGCACTTCACTTTAGCGCAAGCACCTTTGTCCTTGCCACCCAACAGCTCACCGTAGAATCCACGAATAGGTTCATAAATCACCAAGGACCTGCAGCTGCGGCAATTTCTCAGCCAAGTCCTGTCTAAGTCTGCGGTCATAGATACCATTTCGTTTCTCGACGCTTCCTGCCTTTTGACCCTCTGACTGCCCATATCTCCCGAACCTCTGCATTCTCATTCATGCTCCCTATCCCCCTATCTGCCGAGGAACATTGAAGTGTAGCAAACCTGGCGTGGGCAGTGCAAGTACACAGCACACACAGGCTTCCATGTGTTCTCTGAGAATCATCCTCGACATCTGCCTCTGACAAGACAGTCACAAGTCTAGGCACACTCTCTTCTAACAAAAGGGTAGTTAAGTCCCAAACCTGATTTGACAGGATTTTCAGACCACTGCAGTGAGCGAGCTCAAGTTTCCCTAAAAGTGCGAGATTCCGCTATCCTGCGTCCTAGAAGCTATCCGCTGTGGCAGCTAGGAGCGAACAAGTTTGTCCCTTACTTCAGTAAGTAGGTAGTCTCTACTCAATCAAGTAAGCCGCAGAGCGGGCCAACATAGAACATCTCTCCATCCGCCTGGCGCACCAAGGCAGGTGTCAGGCCCTTCCACAGCGCGTGGACGCCTTCATTCCGGGCCGTCTGCTGCAGGCAGTCAGCGAAGCCCCGGTAGCGACCAGTGGATTGCACCTCGGGATGAAAGCTGTGTGTTGTGCTAATGAAGTAGGTGAATAAGAGTTGTGAAATTGCAAAGTCTGATAGAATCTCTGATGACCTGGAATGGCATCTTGATGCTACCCTGCTACCTTGCCGTACAGTTGCAAGGTCCAAGTCTTAAAGTCTTAGCTACAAATAGGTTACAACCTAATAGCGATGGCCTCCAAGCTAGTAGCGTCTTAGTTACAAATGGGTTACAAATGGGTCCGACTCTTATCGCAAACGGCAACAGTTGTGGCTCTGCTCCATCTGCCTGGAGACGGACCTTCACCACATCCGTGGGCAAGGTGACCTGCAAACATGTCTGCACTTCTAAAGCAGGTCCTGAAAGTCTATCAGGGTCTGATAGCATTTCTGTAAAGGTATGGAGTGAATACCTATCACGTGTGACCGCTCGAGGTGTCAACGTGGAACGTGAAAGCTGCATGCGACTCTTTTGCGTAGCGTGACGTGTCAAAGCTCAAGGGGCCCCTGTCGGGCCAAGTTGAACCATGAGAGCGGCGAAGCGGAAAGTTGGAAACCGCTCATGCCAAAAGCTCTGTCCTGCTGTGTTCCTTTTCCATTGGGTGGCACCCAATTCACACCGGTGGTTGTGGCCAAGAAGCTCGTCAGAACTCTCGCCACTTCATCATCTCCTGCTGGGCGCAGAAGGCGCAGTAGTCATACTGCCTCATCGTGCCAGCATCGGCCCCAGAAAGGCCTTGGCAGTCCGGGTAGATGTGGTACTTGCTGCCTGTTCTTGTGGTCCACACTGACCTCGGCACTGGGTTGCGATCAAGCTCGTACTTGATGGCTTCCAGCTTGTCATAGGCAGTCTGCCATTTGATTCTCACATCCTTGTATTTGCCGTTGAGCTCCCCGATGTCACCGGACAGGTAGTCCTATCAGGGTGAGGTCGTCCACTTCCTTCTCCAATTCGTTGTTCTCGCCCTCCAGCGCGTCGAGCTGGTCTTTGAGCTGGGCGTTGTAGGCATCTGAATCCCGTAGGTCTTGTTGAAGTCGTGTGATCTCCATCTTGAGGAGGCCAAACACATTCTTCTCGAGGGCTGTCTCCGCCTGGGTGCCACATTCCTTTGTGCCAGAGCTTGGAATCTCTGTTGTCATCGTCCAGGTCTCTGTCGTTGTCATTGTCCTCAATGTCGTCGGAGTTGTCGTTGTAGCCCTTCCCCACATGTGCCATCCCACCATGGTCATCAGTAGGATGAAGAGAGTGAGGGTCATCTCAGGAGAGAAGGCGAAGTCCAGGGCCATCTCGAAGCTAGGCTGCATGGCTTGCACCATCATCATCTGTGAGGTGAGGATCATGTAGGCCAGGCTATGTCGATTCCCTGATCGACTGATCGCATGTTTGCGAGCATTGGCCTGCCGTTCAGCCAGAGTCTTCTTCTTGGCGGCCTGGAAGGTCATGTCTGACCGAAGGGAGATTTGGTGACTCCTCAACCGGTCGGCGAACAGCTGCCTTGCTGAGGATTTGGTGACTCCGTCAGCTAGCTGGATCTCTGAGCTGACCCAGCGCAGCTTCGTGTCCACGCAGAGCATCTTCTGCTTTGTGACCATGACCTCGATCTTCGTCCGCTTGTCTCCTTGGAGACTGGGTGTCTCGGCTTTGAGGCTGTCGTAGAGGGCTTTGGCGTCTACCACCCGAGCTGAGGAGAGAGAAGGCTTCAGCTCGTTGACCTGTCGAAGCTGGAAGTCGTGCTTCAAGCATCCTTCCCAGAAGATGAGGAGGTACTCCAAGGCGTCCATGGCTGCTGAGCAAGCTTGACTCTCAGCATTCAGCGAGGATCTGCTGACGCTTGGCAGTTTGAAGCTCCTCCAATCCAGGATGATATAGTCGTGGTCGGAGGTGTCATCGAGCACGGCCTTGTTGCAAAGAAGGACCAAGTAGCCTCCTTGGCTCTCATTGTTTCTCCTCACACCCCAGGCGGCATCACTCATCGCCACCATGCACAGGTTGTCCAGCGAACCTCTCAATGATCTGAAGATCAAACCAGCGTCGTTGTTGTTCTTGGCGAAGCGGAGGGTCTTGTTTGCTTGCTGGGCGACACCAACCGTGGATGTAGTGACTTCTCCACATAGAAGCGACACTGAGGCGCATAGGTGTGGTGAGGTCTGAAGTTGCCGGCCATTGAAGTGCTCCAAGTAGCGCTCGAAGTGAGCTCTGCTCGCGAGAGTTGAGATCTCGCTCAGGATCATTGTCGGCGCAGGTCATGGGCTTGATGCCTTTGAGGTAGTCTGCCTGCGTCATGACTGACTCGGTGGCCGTTCGTGCCAGCTGACAGCCGCAGAACTCTAAAGGTCGTTCTCCTTCCTTGGTCCAGTGCTTGAAGTTGAAGGAGGTCTTGAGGCTGTCGGTGAGCTGCTGGTACGTTGGCGATGAAGCTAGGCCACAGCCAAATAGATCATCAACGTGGATGCCAACCATAGCTGTCAAGGCCTTGTTCTCATCGAAGAACATGTAGAGGCACTGATCCAAAGGATGGGATTGAAATCCCAACTGCAGTAAACGGCGTCTCGCCACTGCAAACCACTGCCTTGGAGCGTCAGCCTGTCCGTAGAGGGGCTTGATCAAGCGCATGAGGGTGCCCGGAGGAACGCCGATCAACTCGCAAGCGTCCTTGGGGATCCGGGCCCACAAGATCCTCTGCTGAGGATCACCCTGAAGGAATGCCGTTGCAACGTCGGCAGTCCAGCGCTCCCAGGAAAGCACCTCGGAGATGGCGATGATCACCTGGCGAGAGCTCCTTGACAAAGTGGGTGATGAAGTGTCGAGTTGACCTTGCAGCAGGTCGGGATCAGCAAATCCCTGAAGAACCAGTCTTGCCTTGGCCTTGAGGCCACCTTTCCCATCAGCTGCCCACTTGAGAACGAAGCGAGCGGGCATGACTGTGTTGTGGTCAACAGATTGTGGATCGAGTTCGATCTCCCAGACTCCGTTCTCGAAGATGCTGGAGAGCTCATTCTTCTTGCCCTCCAAGAAGGCCAAACGGTCTTCCAGGGACATTTTCTTCTCGTTGAGGTCTGCGCTCTCCTTGACGTTCTTCTTCTTGGGGCTAGCGGCACCGACTGCTTGCCAAATGTGTCCACGGCCTCTGAGCGTCTTGCAGCGGCTGAGCTTGTCGGAGAGGTCGCCGATGTAGTATAGACCAGTCTTCTCTGCACCACTGACGGTGAGGGGGTACAAGGTCTTGCCTGTCCAAGCTTCGCTGAAGTGCTGCTGCTCCTTGGAGTTGACATAGATAGTCCGTGAACCTTGCTGAAGTGTCAGGCCGGTGGTTGTTTGTAAGTAGGGAGGTTGAGGTCCACATCACCATCATCTGTCCGGGCTTTCTTACGAGTCCAAATCGTCTCTTGCTGATCGAAGCGACGGCGTCGATCTTGAAAGGATTCATGAGCTGGTGGTGCATAGAGAGGGTCAACGGTCATAGGACCTGATGAAGATGATGCCTCAGGTGCGGGCACATCGGCTGGTTCAGCCTTTGGAGAGTTCAGATCATCATCTTCAGGTACAGGAAGATCTGCTGGATCGGGACGTGGGTCTTGTTGATCCGCCCTGGCCATCGGAGTTTGGAGGTGAGAAGGTTCACCCATAGGCTCCTCAAAGTCATCGTCATCCAGTTCAGGAAGTTCTGGATGTCGCTCATGGGGTTGACGTTCCTCCAACTGAGGTTCCAGCTGCGATGGCTCTGACTGAACATCCGGAGGTTCTGCTTCTGGAGGTTCTGCTGCTGGCAATGCCTCTGCTCTCGACTGAACTGCCTCCTGCATTGAGCGGTCGAAGGCTTGTTGAACTCCATCAGGTAGAGCAGGCGAGGACATAGTCAACGGAGCGGGATGATGAGGATCTGGAAGCGAAGGCTCATAGTCACTGACCTCAGGGTCAACCTCATCTATCGATCGCTTGTTGGCCTTTCGCAAATCCACGATGCGAACGGATCTCCTTTGTCTCAGGCCGTCCAGGGCTTGTCGAGCTCGTTGCACTGCTCCGATCTGTCCACCATCGTTGACCATCTTGCGGACGTGTTGAACTCCAGCACGAAGGAGCACAGTGCCGTGAGCGAGCCAGTAGACACTGACGGTGCCTGAGTCTGGGTTGCGTTCCACAGCAACCACTACCGCAGGTCCTCTCCAGCGGATGATGTGGGCCTTGTCGGGAGCATCACGCCAGTAGTAGCATCGTTCGCCTGGAAGAAGCTCCTCGTCCTTGCCAGTAAAGCGTCGGAGTAGAGCTCGGCGAAGTTTCACGTCGATCTCAGCTTTGCCACAAGCACTCTGTGCGGCGAACTTGAGGTTGAGCTTTCGATGCAATTTCTCCTGCTCGGTGAGTTGCAACTGCAATGGACCTGTTCGTTCATCAGTCAACAGTCCAGGAAGAGCAGGTTCTCGACCCAGAGCGAGCTGGGTGGGCGTGAAGCCATTGACAAAGCTATTGCTGTTGAGAGCTGGAACCACCCAAGATAGTGCGCTGTGCACGCCATCCAAACCTGTGAGGTTGTTCTCCATCATGAAGATTGAAACTGCTTTGCGCACAATCTGGTGTCGTCGTTCCACTATGGATGTCCTGGTGTGAGCTTGACCAGGTGAGATGCGGATCTCGATGTCGTTGGACTCGCACCACTGCATTGTAGAGTCAGAAGCCCAACCAGTACCTTCATCCACATAGAGCTGCTTTGGAGGTCCATGATGTTGGATCCAGGCTCTTTCCAAAGCTTTCTGTAGTGATGGGCCCTTTTCGTCCATGACGGTGCGAGCTGCCATAAAGCAGGTGGCGACATCAACCATGACCAGGATGGCGATCTTGCGGGTTTTGTTCTTCTTGCGACCAGGTTCAATCACCATGCCAACCTCGTCCAGGTCAAGCCAGAGGACATCGGCTTGAAGTTGGCTGTTGAACTCTGTGGGTCTATCAAGGTGTCCTGGTGCGTTGCCTTTCTTCACGGAGTGAATCTCGCAGAAAGGACATTCCAAATCCTGAACAGCTGCCAGCACTTTTGGGCTGCAGTTCCGACTCTTCAGGGCATGGAGCAAGACTTCTTTCCGTGGGTGGCCAAGGTTGCGATGAAGTCGCTGTGCGATCCGAGCTGCCTCATGCCCGTGGTTGGAGGCCAACTTGCGAAGTGCTCCTGTGAGAGGTGCGGCATCTTCAGAAACTGCATATACTTGTTCATGTAGGCCTTCATCCAACAAGAGGGCTCTGACCAAGTGGGCTGCCATCTCATCTTGATAGTTTTCAGCTCGGTGGCACCTGTTGCGACCTTCAAGTCGTTGATGTTGATGTGAACCATCGCATCTCTTGGACATGATCTCGAACATCGCCCATTTGGTGGTGTTGATGCGGGTGGTCTTCGAGATGGGCTGTTCGATGCCGTGGTCATCAGGAATCGTCGCTCCATAGGCGCACTGGTCGAAGATGGCCTTGTGGCCAGGCAAGTTCCTGAACTGCTTGGTCTCCCAGGCCAGGCTCAAGCGAGGGTGCTCGATGTGGGCGTGTGCTCCTCGTCGAACTTGCTTCAGGTAGAGCTTCTTGCGCATGGTGAGGTGGGTCTCGGCGTCGATCTCGCGCCGTTCAGTCAAGTCGGCGGCCTGTTCAGCGTTGGAGACATTGATCTGTTGCATCCTGGACCACAAGGTGCACTTGGGAGACATGAAGATCTCGTCTGGCTCCAAGTCGTCGGCCAATCGAAGCAGCTGCTTTCTGTGTGAGGCTTTGTTGAAGTCCCAACCTTCTTCCAAACCGAACCTCATGACATCAACGTCGCCATGAGATCGCAGGAGGCTCGTGATCTTGCCTTCACCGGCATAGACTTCCCAGATCAGCTTGCGGCGGCGATGTTGTCCGCTGTCACGAGTTTGGAGAATCTCCTGCTGTACGTGCTTCTCTGTCTCCTGGAGTTGGGCTTCAATCCAAGACATTGTCTTCTGAAGTTGCTCGATGGTCTTGCAAGCTTCGCCGGGTAGAAGAGGCTGTTACATCTTCCTCAACAATGGCGAAGGTCTCTTCATGGTCGTGGAGCGAGAAGTAGGTTTTGACCTCGGTGGTCATCTCAAAGTAGCGCTCGTGGGCGTTGAGGTCATCAAGAAACTCGTGCAGGCTGGTTCCGCTGCCGCGGTCATCTTCACAGCGGAAATCGAAGACGGGCTCTTTGAAGTCACAGGGGTGCTTGACGTCAGCTGCCAAGCGAAGAAGCATAGCGCCCTGTCTGCCACGAGGGATGTCCTGCCATTCTTGATGAAGTAGTCTCATCTTGGACTCGCCGAAGTTGATCTCGGCCTGAAGTGCTTCCAACAGAGGTCTGCCGAAGAGCATGGGCGTGGCCCCGTAGATGATGTAGGCTTGGATGCGTCCAGGATGGCCAGAAATCTTGACCGGGAGCTCAACCATCCATCGTGAGTGGCCGGAGGCGTCGCCTCCGAACTTGAAGGACTTGTCGCATCTCTTGAAGGTGAGCTCGTCCATGGGATAGCCAATCATCTCAAGCCACTTGATGTGGCGCAAGGCGTACTCCGAGCCAATCAAGAATGAGCTTGCGCCTTGGTCTTGAATGCAGGTGTCCGGCTCGTTCGTCAACCAGCCTCCGGCTCGAACCAACACTTCACCTTCCACATAGGCGTCTTCGACGTCGTAGAAGATGTCCTCGTCCGCAGTGACCTCGCCCTCATCCATGTCGTCGGGGTGGTGTTCGATGTTCATGACCATGTTGATCATGGGGTCTTCGAGGTCGATCACTCGTCTCTTCGGAGAGGATCCGCCTGTCTGCTGGACGGATGGGCAGTTGGCCGCAAAGTGTCCGGCTTTGCCGCAGGTGAGAGCTGCCTTGGCTCGGTTCTTGCCAGTTGGACCTTTTGAGGATCCTTTGGAACCACTGTTCTTGCCCTTGGACTTGTTCTTGGTCTTTCCACCTTTTGCCGAGCCCTTTGGGTTTTGAGCGACTAGTGGGGCTTGACCTTTTCCATCAACAACTGCCACCACTGGGTAGAATCCTCGGCTTTGGCGAAGTTGGTTGAGCCTTTGTTTGGCATCAATGTAGGTGGAGTAGACCTCATCAAACTCCTCTGTGTCATAGATGTTCTCGGTGTCGTCGATGGTCTCCTCATAGAATGTACCATCAGGGAGTTCGGGCTCAAACCATTCGTCAGGTTCCTGGAGGTCGCCTTCCTCATCAGCGTCCATGTAGTAGGACTCCTCAGCCTCGAAGAACTCTTCAGCCTCATCGTCCCAGGCCATGTGAATGCCTTGGGGTTTCTTCCATCGAAGTTGCTGCTGCTGTCGGCGGAGGTGATGAGGAACATGAACCTGTTGGTAATCCTGTCCGAACAACAGGAAGAGGGACTGCTCAACTGCGCCCAAGGTCAGGACCGACCCAATCTGGGTCTGTACCATTTGCTCTTGTTCACGTGTCAGACCTGCTCGTTTGAGCAGCATCCATCCTGTAACCTCTTCGGGGAGGTCGACCTTGTGCTTGGTCACCTGGCGCAGCACCTGGTGGAACTCAGTGGTGTACTCGAGGAGGGTCTGGTGCTGTCGGCGCTTGAGCTTGAAGAAGAATGCCTCGAAGTTGTTCGGCATCTCGACCTTGTCGTCGTAGGACCATTGGCGGTCCAGGCGCTTCAACAAAATGTTGAGGCCTTCGTCGGACTCCAGCTCCTTCAAATCCAGGTCTTCGCATTGAGTCCAGCTGGAGCCTTCCAAGGTCGACAGCACGTTCAGTGCCACTTCGGTCTTTCGACCTTGAATTTCCAACTTCCGGGCGTAGAGAAGGACCCGGCGCCGCCATTCCTTGTAGGAAGTCGTGGTGTTCTCGAAGCGCGGCACGAAGTTGTCCTTCAGGTCCCGGCTTCCGCCAGCGCCATTGGCTTGTCCAGCTGCTGCCGCGAAGGATGGGTTTTCCCTTCGCGAGGGAGAGCGTCCAGCCATCAGCGCGTGGGAGCCGTCACTTTGGACGGCTCCGCTACCAATGTAAAGGTATGGAGTGAATACCTATCACGTGTGACCGCTCGAGGTGTCAACGTGGAACGTGAAAGCTGCATGCGACTCTTTTGCGTAGCGTGACGTGTCAAAGCTCAAGGGGCCCCTGTCGGGCCAAGTTGAACCATGAGAGCGGCGAAGCGGAAAGTTGGAAACCGCTCATGCCAAAAGCTCTGTCCTGCTGTGTTCCTTTTCCATTGGGTGGCACCCAATTCACAATTTCTGTTTTTAACATGTGATTTGATATATCATTTCCTACTGGTGTCTAGTGACTAGTGTCTTTTCATGGCAACCTTGGACAAAGAGGCTGTTCAAAACGGCTCGGTCTCCCACCGTTTCAGCGATGGCCGCTCCCAAGGCCGATCCCACAAAACGGGCTCCGGTGTCTGACATGGGTGCTCTTCTTTGGAGGTGTATTTCTAAATCGAAACCTCGACATCAGCTGAAACGTGTCGAACGCGTTAATTCATTACGTGTGAAGTGAGTGACTTCATCAAGCCAAATAAGAAGTTGGAGTCTAAGTATGTCTAAGCCACAGCGACTCAATGCCTTTTCTGCCCATTTTTCTTGCGCGCTTGTAATGACCAGACTGACTCTCCCCATACGTCCTGTTCCTCTGGGTGTCTCAGATCGATGAAGCGAATGGCTGCGGTGTGGGATTGATCAGCAAAGGTGGCCCAAACAATTAGATTTTAGTTAAATTCTATATATTGTTTCTACGTTCGCTTCTTGTTACTACTAGTAAGGCACTTGTTACTAGTAGCGATGCACTTGTTACTAGTAGCCTTAAAGCTGGCCCCGGTTTTCTTGCTCGCGAACGAAGAAGGGTCATTTCTTGGCACTTTCGGTTTCCCTTCGAACACACGCGTCCATAGGGGGTTCCGGTTGAGTTCAGCTCCAAGGAGCACCGAAGAGACCGAAGCTACAGGAACGGCACCCACGGTCTTCTCGAAGGGATTCGTTTTGGAACACATTCGAAGGTGAAGTATATTTCTTAGTGAATCGCTTGAAAGGTTTTGCTGAAGGAATGGAAGCC